TATTCTCTATGGAACCTGTAAAGAGGAGTGTTGAGTGCAGAGGCCGTAAATGGAGATATCTACAGCCTCCAAACCAAAAAAGGAACGATGGAAACTAAACGAAATCAACAATCATTTTCACATTGTACTGAGTAAAGTCGAGTACGTGGCGCAATCCGAAGCAAATTCTGAACAAATCATCTTCAGGAACCAATGAGCCCCTACAAGTGCTAAAGCGTGCACCCCATGTGTGCAATCACTTTTCGGGTGGAGCTCAAGTGCATGGCGCAATCCATAATAACAATAAAGCATTTTCAACATATCAGGGTATCCTCTTGTAGAGCTCGATGAGCTTAGTTCAACGGTAATTTCCTTTCCTCGATTAATTCATTTTGAAGCGATTTATAAAGAAAAAACGAAAAAGACGCGAACTCGCGGTATTACCGTAAATTTTTGAGTTCTTACGGCGAGTACTGTAACACCTCAGGTGCTGAGAGGCTCATTTTTTGTTTTCCATGGGAATAAAAGAGGGAATCCCGAGGAAACGGGAAATTTGTTATATGGCTGGATTGTTCACAAGCAGGGCTTTCCGTTGACCATACTTTCAGCTAGACTGGAGTACTCTAGGAAAAGTTATTTTTGAGCAACGGTTAACCGTCGGTTGGCCACAAATTAGTAGCAGTATTGTAGCAGACATACCCGTTATAGGAAGGAACTACGGGATACTGTTCGGCCACTTGCTATCAGTGTACTGTTCACCATATAATGTATCTTGCACTGTCAGTTGGACAGATGGAGCAGAAAAGTAAGGCTTCTGAGCATTCTGTTGTGTGGTTTCGTCCCACGATTGAGCCTTGATGTGGTCGTAAATACTTCACGATGCTTGTACTTCTTTTCATTTCCTTAGCTTGACAGTTTGGTTCTTGTTATTCGAGTTTCTTCCATAGCAATGTTGGAATTGCAGTCCGTTGTCGCTGGCCCTATTGCATAGGCAAGGCCAAAGTATGATTTCTGCGAAGTAAATAAGTTATTCTGAAAGAAGAGCTAACAAAGTAGGTTTTTTTTAGCGGTTTGTCTAGGCTAACAGCTTAGTTCTTCGCACTCAGCCGGTAGCATATAAGCCGAAGGGAGTTGGGATGTTGTTCGCCCAAATCCCAACTTTGTCCTATGACTCATTACAGAATTAGAGAATCATGCGAGTACTAGCCATCAAGACTCCACCGCTGTACCGGCTGTCGTTACAGATCTAATCATTAACATACGCTCCCACTTCCTTTCATAATATCACCCTTCACAGAGGCAGCGACTGGTTCATTTGCTGTCTTGCATTAGACTAAAGGAGACACACCTAGTGAAGCGTATAATTAAATAGATAAACGTTCAAGTAATCAGAATGATAATTAAGTATCCGAATAAGTGGATAAATAACACTTACTTCAACAACGTGCTTACCTGACATAGGGTGAAGTAGAGAAACGATTATATCATCAAGGGAAGGAGCCATGCTAGCTAGTGAGGACATGTGCATAAAACACTTGCAGCTTCTCTTCGTTTTTATAAGTTTAGCTGTTGCAAAATCTGACAGTATAGCCCTTAGAAGCTGCTCAGTCTGTTCTTGACTCCTGTCAAATTTCATGCGTGATCAAAAAAGCAACGTGGAAAGCATGACGGTGGGTAACGGGTGTGGTGCAGTGGGAAATTGTCGCGTCGCCGCGAAGGAATGTAGCACAGTGCAGTAAGTAATTCGGGAACAAAAGAAATAGCAGTAGAATCAGGCCATAAGTAATAATTGCATAGCGATTGAGCTGTATGAAGATCGCTAGAACTGTTATAACGAGGCGAATGGTCCGCGACAGCCGCGTGCGGCGGATCGATTATACAAAACCGTTCCTACTGCCCGTCTTCCGTGGGTAGCAGTGGCCACTCAGAATGAGGCGCTCACCGAAGATGCGCTTTCAAATGCTTACCTCAAATCTGAAAACAAAGTGGCAGAAATGTTTGCTCTTATAATGGGGGTTTCAGCAGATTATGCAAGCACGCTGATTCAACGTGAGCGGCGTGGAGCAGATGGCGTAGCGGGTGAGGCGATGGGCTCACGGGCAGAACAAAAAGTTTTATATCTTCAATGCATAAGCTTGTTTTGTCAATTCCTTCCTCTGAAAAAGAACGCTGAAGTTTTGCAAATCAGTACAACACATCCGATTGACTATCTGCAAACTTCGCTCACCCTATGTCGCACCCGAAACACCCTATCATTTGCTTCTATCTCTTCCCATCTCCAAAATAAATCATCTCACTGCACAGAAAATTCGATAGACGAAATCTAAGCTGAAGATTGATTCATCTCCACTGGAAGTCAGGTAGCTCCTTCCATTTTGATGCTCGCGAGATGCCACATGTACCGAGTTTCTCATCAACAAGAGCAATGACACCAATCTCGTGCAGAATGCGCCTTTCGTAGTCTGTTCCAAACAACTTGGATTCAGTTGATGGTCTTATTTCTTTCTATTGGGGTTAGCCGAATGCATTGAAATGCATGACTATAAAATGCTAAAGAACTGTGTGACCATATTGTAATGTCTTATTGTTAGGTTGAAATCCTCTTCATGGCAGCGACGGCGATATCTGGACACATCCCGGAAGCTTTGTAACTTTTTGAGATCATAGGCTGTGAATTCCAAAAGGGACAATTCAGGACCTCAATCCGTCCGTCAGCACACTTCTGTAGTGCAAGTAAGGTTAGCATCGTCTTCCACTTTTCGAGGAACTTGGGAAGTTGCGCACTTCCATGTATGATGAGTACACTCTGCACCATCATGGAACTGACTACATATCCTGACTACACTACTAGTGACCTCACATTCTTATCCTACTGTGTCCGTCCCATCTGAGCCTAACGACCTCATTGATCATGGTTGTAGACGCTTCTTCGTTTCTTATGTTTACAATATGGAAAAATCTTCTATTTCCTACTTTTACACAAGCGCTCCTAGAGTGAGGCTACCAGTTCAACAGCATATACGATTCTGCTGCAGAAACAGAAATCAATTCTATCTCAGAAGGAGAGTCCCAAAATGATGACCCATTGTAGTTTGTTTTATGCTATGTTCGAGTAGCAGCCAAAATGTTCGCGATCCTTCATCAAAATTTGGGGAAGAGACGCCTCCTATATGAAATTCAAAAAGGTTAGGACTAGGCTTCATCTGAGAGCCGTTTCCGATGTTCCTTGAAGCGAGCAGCAGTTGCAAATACTCAATTGAGGGTGTAAAGCTGTTTTGCAAAAATCTAGCACACATTTCATTACAAATGCAGTGCAGGTTCGTGTATAAATGCGAACCTTCATATCACGCTTATGAGCCTACCGCCCCGCTCACTGCGCCTTCGCTTCACATTGCCTAAGTATGCGATTACGAGTTCTGCTAAATTCCACATTGTAAGATAGAAATGCATCCGTAATTCGATCCTCAAAACCATTCCGCTTCTATCGTGAATTTGTTCTCAGGACCGTATTCGTGATGTAGATTTGAGTTAAATGATCAAATTCGCACACATTAAGATGTCTTTCTCCTTGTATGGTCACTGCGGCATGGAATCCACAAGGGACAGATGGAAGACGAGTCTTCCATCTGTCCTATTCTGCCTGAATTATCATGCAAAATCTGTCGTCTGAGATTACCTGTTACCAGAAAGCAATAAAGCAATAGGCACGGCAGTATCAGATATAATTAACGATACTGAAGACATCCCAAAAAATTCGTTACCTTTGATGGCCTTCGTTTTCCTTGCTGTGTCACACTCTCTTGGCGGGAAATGTGACAAATTCTGGACCTGTCGATAAGTTTCTGGTAGGAGCACTTTGCTGCAGAACAGACATTCCTTTCGGTCTGAGTGAGGCAAGACGTTGTGAGCAATAACTTCGTGCCAGTTACAATTAAGCTTTCTTGCTCTTGCTCCTGAATTTAATTGTGATTGCAATGTCTCACTACAATGAAGTAGTACTTGAAAACTGCCATCGGTGACTTCATTAAAATGAAAAGCAATCCGTAGAAAAAATGTCAGGGACAAAAACCTATATCATGTCATGAAGAGTCCGAGGTATTACTAAAATAAACAAGAGGACAGCAATGTAATACAAATCAGAGTTTTTATTACTTGACTGGAATCAAGATCACGAAGCAGATGAACAGAAACCATGCCCCGTGGTTGTAGTTCCTGAAGAGAAAAGCAACTCAAGTTCACCCCATAGGAACTTGAGCTCTCCTTTAGAAAAGCACAAGAAGTCACATAATGAGGTTGTGAACGCGGTAGTGACGCCGCTTGTAGAGGCAACGAAAGTTATTTGTATCATTCGCCACTAAAATTATGGATTCATCTAATTGTGAAAAAAGTTCTACCTATCGGAACGCAATTCAATAAATCTGGAACACGGATCCTCGCCAGCAAACGAATCTCAGAGAGACTGAACTTATTCTCACCTTCTGTAAGGACGAAGATGGATACCGACAAGGTTTCTTGGACTGTGAAGCGAGCGCCAGAACGACTGCCTGACGACGATCTGCACTGAAGGACTACGCCTCCTGAGCAAGAAAAATTGCTGAACTTTTTTTCGTTTTCCCTAGGCAAGAGACGTCGCGGTCAGGGACTATTGGGCAATATCAATGATCATTGAAGTTATTGGTGACGCATGCTGTATATACTGCAGTTGAACAGTTAATTGCAGTTCAGTGTAAATTGTTCTCTTTGCTTGGTTTGGGAAATACTAGAACAGAATGTTGGTGTGGAAAACTTGATCAACCAAGAACAGCTTTCCACCGTGACCGTTCCAAGAATGTACTCGATTTAACTCAAAAATTTCAAGACTGCTTTCCGTCGTAGAAACTGATAAAAGTGCACAATCTATAACTATTAACCACCCATCTATAGTGAGCTGATTTTCACTGTTCTAACAACATTATATACAATTTGCATGAACTGCAATTGAAATTCATCGAGCGGGCGTCAACAACAGCAATTCCCTCCCTGTTGCATACAAACACAATGTAGTCGACTTTCTTTGCTCAGTGAAAGCATTAAGCGCGCCGCTCTTACGGTTTCAGATAACGTCAGGTGGCCGTTCCGGCGTTCGCTCGACAAATACAGAGACCCTGTCGCTGACCATGTCGAACTTTACAGAAATTTACAAATGTCCAGCTTTCCTGATCTCCTTTTGCTGACGAGGAACGTGGGGACCCTTCCGACGGTCAATATATCAAGAAATGAACTCAGTCAAACCTGTTAGTCCTTGTTATATTAGCACTCTATCGGGTGCGAAGAGGGTGACGGAAACCGACCATCTGTGCTCTTTTATGCGGTTTCAGCCGAGGAAATTCAGTTTCCCAAATAAGCCTAGGTAGAGTAGGAGCACCTGGGTTGCTGGGATGATTACCTCATGCGAAAAAAAAAGAAAGAAAATTTGTCCACCGCAGTGCTCCTTCCCTACGAAATCCCTTATTCAAAAACTGGCATGTCCATAATTCGACACAGCATAACACGTTTCATTGAGTTCATTTCTTGATATACTAGCCATCGAATGGGTGGCTCCTCCCAACTAAATTTTCACCCATTTTTGATATGTCTGATTCGTCTCCATACCAGCAAACTTTCCACCGTCACGGAGAGGTTATAAGAATCACTTTTGATCGATGCTGCGCCACTTGCATAAAACGGCTGCTCTCATCATTGCACTCCATTCACGTAAGGCTCTTAGAACAAAAGAATATCATAATAGATCTGATGACGGAAGCGTGATTCTGCAGTTATCGAGTTTGTAAGAGGAGACCTTGTCCTGTTTAAGCGTGTATAGAAAACGTCAACAGCAGCGCATGATAAGAGGTTGCAACCTTTTATTCTGTGCTGCTTTTGACGTTGTCACTCTGTCTTCTTTTCAACAAATCGACCAAGTTTGAGCGAGTCCAGTTCACCTTGAAGGACAATCATAATCAAGCAAAATTTGTCAAACAAGTTGTCATAACATTAGTTAGCTAGAGCACTGGAGAGTAGCTCTATTTCTGAAAGCTGTACCGATTTGCATAAATGCTTTGTAGCGCAACCAAGCACTTCTTCACGTTTGGAAAATAAATGATATGACGCCCGGCTTTCTTCAAACCCAGCTCGCATCTGTAATGCATTTCAGTTTTTGGAGTCACTATAATTGTCTCATTACTTCAAAACTTCACCTGGTCAATTAAACAGGCAGTGAAAATCACCCATGCCTGACCAGCCCCAGGTAAATCGCGTACGGCTTCTTGTCCCAAGACAACGTCAATTATTATCTCACCGAGCTTTTCCCAGTATTGACCTGTAAGGCCGTATGGACGAAGTAGGCCATGAGCTCGACCTGAAAACTATAGGCTTTGCAAGAATGTTCTGCGCCAAAATTCGAACTCTTAAAAATTTGTATGAACTATGTGAACACGTAGCAGAGGTGATAAACTAGTGGAGCACTTCCCTGGCAATCGAAACATGAGTAAACAAGGAAACACACGCAGGCTTCCGCAGCATTACCGTCAATAAATAGACAACACCCAATTCGTAGCATTACCTTCTTCCAGGCATTCCAAGGGAGAAACGCGGGTGTAGCCGCTTGAATTATGAGCAACCTTTTGGTTGTTAGCACTCCACCCGATCAAAGGTCAACAATGTGTGGGATCGCGTCACTGCAGGAGATGCTAGCGTTCGAAGTAAGGCAAGTGTTCTGGCTAGGTCAGAACCCGCGGTCAGCACCGCTCCTTCGGGGCGGGGCTTAAGTAGAGCGTTCCTTTCTCTGTCATACCCGCTACGGGAGTCTCCCTCTTGTGCACCACCAGCAACCCGGGTTTTGAGGTTTTTGAATGAATCTCCTACCCTTGAACCGCTTTACTTGTTCGTTTATCAGAGAGACCATCAATCTCTCTGAATATATGAAAGGCGCCACCCTTCCGCCTAAGACACCACAGCGAGCACTGTACTCTGTTATGTGACAGGACCCATCCATTATGAGTTGCCAAGTGTGGACTAGATAGTCACGCTGTTTCCTAACCTCTATGAGCTCCAGAGAAAGCAGCGTAGTTTTGCTTGCCAGATCACAGCAAGCACATTATCATAATAAAAAAACCGCTCGACAGCAGTGAAGTAAAGGGAAGAAGTAGAGGTACTAATATGGTACTAATATGGCACTCTATTTCCACAAGAAACCAGTTATCGCTAGCGCCATAGCCATAGCTACACTTTTACAATAATATCATTGCTACGGAGCAAACTTATAGTATCCGGAAAACGAGGAAGAACTCTACGAAGAAGCTCTCGCAAATGTTACCCTTCTATCGTCAGCACTAAGTCGTATAAGAACAGCTGTCGAAACTATCCGAGAAAGGGTCGGCAAAATAGAGCACCACTATGCCAATGCAAAAAAGACCGACCAAAAAGGGCTTATTGTAGAAATCCAGCAAACTGAAAAAGTATCACAATATCCGCAACATTCGGTGAGTGCCGAAGCTTCCATTCATGAACTGGAAGCTCAGCTAACTGAGGCTCAAGTGAATTTGGCAAAAGCTCAGAGGAAGCTTAAATTACCTTCAGCTAATAACGACAGTGAAGGATCATCAACCCACAGCAGTCACCAAACAAAGTGATCTCGAGGAAACTCGGAGGAGCCGAATTCTGGGAGCACCTGAGGGATGCGGTCAATGAAACCGTCCAGTATCAACCTACCAAAATTTTACGACTCCCTCATTCCCTCAAGCAATGAACTGAACACAATTGAAAAGATTGTCATACTCAAGGACAGCTTGAGAGGGAAGGGCCGAAAGAGCCATCGAAGCAATACATCCGATAGCAAAGAATTATGAGTGGATCGTACAGACTCTCAAAGGTAATACGGCAACCGACCGCTCAACAGGTCAGAAATAGTGTAAAAACTTTTCGACTTGAAAGCTGCAGCACAAAATGCAAAAAGCTGTGATTATTGCTTGGACTCTATCAAAACACTTGTGAATCAGATGGGCTCTACTGACTAAGACATCAGATCCACTAGCGATCCGATGTGGGCTGAAACAATCATCAAAAAGTTCCCCTACACAACAATAAAGGTCGTTCTAGCAAATTACCAGAACGACAAAAATATTACAACTGGGAATCTCATAAAGTTGCTAAGAAGAGAAATATCCTTCAAACTTTTTGTCGAGACGCACTGGGACTCCTACAGCTAACAAACCAGGGAAACTAGGCCTACTGATGATTTTAGAATACAAAGCCAAAGGCTTTTCCAAACCTGCGCTTTTTGCGGATGCAACCATCTCCATTCCGCATTGTTCAGAACCGTCACCAACATTCAAAGGAGACGCGCTATCGACAAGAACAACTGTCTCTGTTGGAAATAAGCCATCAATGCAACAAGCCTAATTGTACTTGATGCGGCCAGAAACATCATCATAGTATTATATATGTATGTCTGGCAAGCAAACCATTCGGCATCAACGTGAGAGCCCCACGGGCAAATCCCCGGCAGGCAAGAAATGAGACCAATCAACAAATTTATGGCAGCAGACCACAGCAATCTGATAGGAGGGCGAGCAGTCGTTTTTGCAACGATGATAGGAGAACCCAATAGACCAACACATAGGCCATTCAAACCGAGCTGCATTACGACCGCTCAAAGATTGACACCAGTAGAAATGAACAACTGACTCCTATGACAGCAGAAGGCAATCTTAGAACAACAAAAGTGAAAGGTTCGAGGAAGTACTCCTCTTCCTTGATACTGGAGCTCACAAAACCATAATTTAAGAGGAATTAACGCACGACTTTGGACTTCCAAAACTTTTCACAGAAACCTGCACTATGTCGGGTTACAAAAGGATTTCCTTTAGTAAGACTAACAGAAGAAGATGCCAGTTTTCTTGTGCATGACCAGGTCTGTATCGCAAGTTCCAATTTACAATGAGAGGGATAGGTGCCCAAGACTTTAGCTGAACTCGACAGAAATCACGACCTAGTTATAGAATACGGAGTTCCACAGAGCACACCTTCATGGTTACGAATAGCAAAAACCGTGTTCAGTCCAACAATGTATAGCCTAGGCAAGCTAGACAACCCCAGAATGTCAGTTAATTTCCTTCCGTTTGATGACCATTCACGAAGGCTCAGAGGATCGAATATCAGCGAAACCTTCTAAATTAGAAGGGCTAGGAGATTCTTCTGATGACTGGGCCACTATCAGTCATACTGGTCCTCCAAGGTCCTGAAGGACCGCGAAAATCGAGGAATCATTGAACAACACTTCTGTCGTGAAGCCCACGACTTCAAAACATCTGGGCCGTCACTACACCGCGCACATACTATTCGACGCGCAGCACCGTCATCATCGATTGCCTCGTGGCATGGGCGTGACGCCGGGTGTGCACTCAACACCTTGCCATTCTGTGTCATGTCAACGCGCCGAGCGGTTGCTTTCTCTTTTCGTGTGTAATATATTCGCCGTCGTTCCCACATAACCTCGTCTTGAAGGGATCGGAAGCACTAGGAAGATCGCACTGCCGAAGGAACAGGAATAAAATAGGCTCCAGGGTGCGAGCAGGAGAACGGAAAGTGAAGAGCTGTTAGCTGCCGCCGGGCAGCTAAGGTCACCAGCAGCTCAGGAGAGATTGAAGCACCATGGAACCTCGGGTCTGCGAAGGGACTCGGGATCGCGGAGAGAAGCGTTCCGTGCATGACATACGTCTGCGGACACCGCGTCGCTCTCCTTCCCCGAGGGCAGAGAGTGCCGACGACCCCTAATGAGGTAGGAGCTTGACCCGTAGGCATACCTCGTATTTCCTGTCTTATGAAGATAAATGTGATAATCTTTATATGTGTGTCTTTTCTCGCAATAGCCGTGATAACAAGCCAGTGCTTCTATATCGTATTTCCTACCACTTCTCGCAGCAACAATAGTTAGTAGTTTATCCATAGAGATTCATATACGCGTACGTGTTTATATATACATACATTTATACTATCCGCATGCACGGGGAGGCAGAAGTAGTATGTTCGCAGGAACGAAAGGGGAGAAGGCAGTGGATGCCACAACACCTAGTAGCAGTACCCTACAACACACAGTTTCTCGCTCTCTTCGCCATCGGGGGCTTTAGGCAGGACCGCCTTGTAACGCGTGGCTGGGCAAAATATCAGCGCCCTTAAAGGAGGCCCCTCCGTTTGCGACATGGTACATCGGACTGGGGTTAGGCGTGTGGCAACACACGTCTAGCCTTAGTGATCGAACCTGTTGCGCTGATGGGCAACCGAGGAAGCCGGAAATACACAGACGCGCCAACGGAACGGCTAGCAAAATCCGGGGAATAACAGAGGTCGCCGCGAAGGGAGTGTGCGAAGGGGCCTATCTTTCCAACCTAGTGGCCCCGTGTGGAGCGTGGAAGATGAAGTGGCACCGGTGACCATGTAAATCACGCGACCTACCGCGGAGACCAGGAAGCAGGAGAATTACCCTGCTGAAGTCATCGCTTGTAGGTACGCGCGGTTCACTGTGATTAACGCTGAAACAAGTTGCATGGAGGAGTGCTCGGGTGGACGAGATTGCACGACGAGGTGCCGCTCTCATGCATCCCAGTTAGTGACGGTCCGTTGCGGTTAATACGCACAGTGGGGTCCGTCCAAAACCTCGCCTTGGCTTTAGAGTGCACCTCCGGTCCGTTGGGTCCAACCTGTTGATCCTCGACTTCGGTCCTAAGATTAGCCGGTCGTGCCGCGAAGCCGCCTGGGTGAGACCTCGGGCGACCGGCTATCCCTACGATGTTGCCTTCTCCAGGTTTAGATTCAGGTTTGACAGCTACTACCTTCCGCCGACCATGACAACATCATTGCATGCGAGTCCGAGCTAGTGAAGTTCCTCACGGAACTACAGGCAATACGGGTAAGGTTCTGATCAGTCCGCGTAGGAGTGATTTGCCTTCGACGGCTGACGCCTGCCAGCTCCTTGCTAATCGTCGAGAAGTGCTTTAGTTACATTTCGAACATCCGCGCAGCGTCATATGCCGTTGTATAACATCATACCTTCGTAGCCGTAGTCAGTAGTTCAGATAATATACCTCATTATATTCTATAGCAGATTTCAAGTTAGAAGATGCGACATTCACAATAGAGAGTCCTATCCATGCCCTCCAGATCATCTTAGAGGAGGCCGCATGCGGCTTGGAACTCTCGGGACGAGGCCAAGTAAAACCTGGCAGGACGACGACGACGCAGGACAGTGGGAAGAGACGACGAGAGAAGTAGATCGTCACAAGATTGTCGACCATCCGACGCAGATTCCTTCTTCTCGGTCCTCCCCTGGAGATAGCTCGATGTGACGAACACAGCTCCATCACGTTCGTCATTCAGCAGGTGTCGCACTATCCAGCGGTCCAGCTAGTAAGATCCATCTCTAGCTCTTCTCGGGTGACATAACGCAGTTCCAACGCATCCGACGCGTGTTCAACTTCTCAGTTCCTAGTATTCCAGCGTTTGAGTTGCGTCTTCGTGAATCACGCGCAAGTACTACGTCTATCCATGTAGACACTGTTCAGGCAATCACTCTCGTAGGAGGATCGTCGATGAGATTATAGACCATGGGCTTGCTCTCCAGCAAACATTATGGTCGGTTGCCCAATAGGGGCACTTTCCGTCAATCCATAGAACAGCCGTCTCAAACTCACTAAGCTAGCTCTTCTGAGCTATGCGTTTTCGAAGACGTCGCTGAATGAGTCTACGTCTGCTGTGTATACCATCTTCGTCGGTCAGAGTCCGTGTTCCGTTATGGCGAAGTCACACCAATGAATTCATGCCAATGGCGACACCACAACTACAACGTCCAGCAGTTCTCATTAATGCCCGCCTTGCGCAGCACTATACAAACCAGTCGGACATCAACATCCGTCCATATACGTTTTCTCCGATTCGCATACAACCTTATACTATATATCCATCTTGACAGTGTAACATCTCTGTCCAAAATAGGGTACACCATTACGGACATCTTAGCGTCCTTCCGGCAATGTAACATCACCACTAGCCTCCGTAGCATTGCGCCACACGTGGTCTGTCCACGAAAGCCGCACAGGATCATCCTTCGTGGTTAAGTCCATCATTTTCACGTTTGCCACCATCTTCAGTTTACTATGTCCGATTTTCGCTACTTTCCGGCAGCGAAACGGACCGCAAATCTTAGTCCCAAGTAGCCCATATTGCACATAATTCGAATTCCGTCCTTGTTCATCTCGTTTGCCGCACTAACAGCTTGAGAAAGCTGCTTAGGATCCAGGCACATGTCCTTCGTTTTCTGCGTACGCAAACCTTCGATCGCATTTCATCACTGACGCAAAAGCGCTTACAACACCTTCTACGCAGGTAGCGCAGTCAAACACCGTAGGAAGTCGCACAGAAGTCCGTTGAAACGGTGGCCGCACAGAAGTTGCTCGTCTTAGCACATCGTCGCTAGGATGAACACGTCCTGCAATGTTGCCGTCGTAGCAGTTCAATGCAAAGAAACATCAACCAGGACTTCCTTGCTGTCCACTTTGCGGTCAGCTTTTATCGCAGCCAGTCCTCGCAGTACCATCTTGTAGGCTGACTACAACCTTCGTTTGGCAACATTAACTCAGCGTCATTACGTGGGAGTTTGCTTCACCACAGCTCTACTACGTTATAATCGTCTTATTCCATCTGGACGTACTTTAGTAGTTAAAACTCTCCACGAATGTGTCGTCTGTAGAAAAGTCAGTAGTCACGTATACCGTTACCCGCATAACCATCATCAGCGGAAGGACGGACAACAACATCTCATCCGTTGCCAGTACGCCGGTATCGACTATTTCGGCTTTTCAGCTTATCGCAGCGTCTACTAATCTGTTAAGAGTCTGGGTATGCCTTGTAACACGCACGGTTTACGCAGTTCACCTTGAACTCGTCGTGAATAACCAAATCAGTGAATTTGTCAGTTTTCGCAGATTTATAGCACACAAAACTATTTCAGCCATCATTTCTAGCGATAACGCAATTACATCGCATGCCGCAGACGATGCTCTACCAAACGTCGTATACATTCCAGGCTTCAAAGGTTTCAGGTTTTTGCGCTAACCGCAAGATCATTTGACGACTCATAATACCATCATCTTCCTAAGAAGGAGTAGCCTTACGCACACATGGTTCAGCTTTTAGATCCGCCTTTCGTGAGCAGCTAACCTTGTGTTACTGGCGTACGAGGGATCCTAGACCGTCGTCATTAACACCGAGGCGGTCACAACTCCTCGTCCTACAATTCTCCTTCTGGAAGCGCAGTTGTCAGTTAGCGTATTGAGACCGATAGTCCTTGTTTCGTTATAAGTCTTTCCGCAAACACCGTCTCTCGATCATCTGCATAGCAAATTTGCAACTACTACGCGCAAGCTCGGCTCGTAGTACAAAGACCCCTTTGAGCTACTAGTCCATTTTTGGCACCTAAGGCGCATATATCATCTCGCAGCGTTAAAACAGCGTCATCCGCTGCGTGTAAGACCATTCAAATACGTCGCAGCGTCACATAACATCACCGACGCTATTATCGCTGCCGAAAGTTGCCTAAGCGAACTGTATCGCAGGTAACTATGATACAGTCCCTCGTCTGGCTAATATTCCGTCGTACGACTATTTCGCAAGCTCAGCAATCGTCGTCGAGACAGTCTCAGTCGTGTCCGCAGTCACCATCGTTGCTGTCGCAGCCGCACTTACAATCGCGGCCGCAAGGAACAAGGACAGCTGCGGAGGATCCACTTTCCGCAGCACAGTATCGCATAACATCTAGGTCAGGCGTGCAAGCGAGGGAGTACGTGATCACACAATTAAGACAGGAGCTCACACGTTCGAGAGCAGATGAGCCGCGCGCAGATGAAAGGGTGCCGGAACCACCCGCATTGGTAAGAGGAGACGCATATACAAAGGGCCATCCAGAGTGGTTCAAACCTTTGCAAGAAAACCAACCGTTGTGGATAGCCTTCTGTCCCTAGCACGCAGGCACAATCCAGAAGTCGTGTTGCGCCTAAGTGAGAACATGAGTCCCAGCTCGCCGCAGTTGCTCATGAGGATAAAGCCTTCATTTTTCTTCTTCAGCGCTTAACAATCTCCTTCCTTTTTCTTCTTGAGCACTTAACAATCTCGCTGGACCCTGGCACTGTTTTTAAGACCGAACATTTGAGAGCCTATGACTACGTTGCCATCGAGTCCTTTCTGCGCTCAAACTACCATAGCATGATTCGCTGTTACTCTACAAAGGAGATTATCCTGCCCGATTGGGCGCAGCAAGAGCAAGCGTTGTACAAATATTTCACGGTCTTCGAGATTGTGAAGAACTTCAGGGGTGTCCGTACCCTTGCGCAGAAACTTGCAGACTACCTCGCAGGGGCCTCACAGAAACAGAGCTTTCCGGATGCAGCTCTACGCTCTTCGAGCAAATCGAGCACATTCATAACCTGGTGCATAACATCGATCACCGCGATGTTCGCCTCTTAACGCAGCTCCAAATCCAACACTATATGGGGCAGCAACAGCCGCCGCGGCTAATAGACTTGTTCGCGTACTGTGACGTACATTGGGCAGATTTCCAGGAAGTAGCCGCAGCAGCCACAGCAGCGATCGCAGAGGCGAGTGTCGTGCTCGGTGAGCTATCACGCACACTTGCATCGCAGTTGCAGCAAACGCTGCATCCGCAGCATCGTAGAGGCAGCGCCTAGGTAGAACCTAAACGCGTAACAACACCGCCGCAGATACTGCCGCAGCAAAGGGAACGTCCAGCGCAGTTATCTCCACCGCAGCAGCAGCGTTCACCATCATCAGAGCATTCACCATCACCATTCCAGCGGTTTAGTATACCACAGCGACAACGCAGTCCTTCGCAGGAGTCCGCATCGCAGATACAGCAACGTGATAGCGGGAGACAATCGCCGCGACGCCCCCAGGCTCCTCGCAAGCAGTATGAAAGAGCAGATAGGGGTGGCGCAGAGCGTAGGGAGGGATCGCAGCCCCCGCAGCTACGCGAGGAACACCCATCAGTGGGATGTTTTTTCTGTGGAAAGCCTCACTTTTCCTCAGGCTGTAGGATACATACGAGCCTGAGGGAGAGGATGGCGATTAACGCAGAAAGAGGAAACTGCTTCAGATGCGGAGCGATACATGGGGAAGAGTACTGCACTAGCACCGCTAAATGTAGGGCACGCGGTTCAAAGGAACACCACGCAGCGTTTTGCATGCGTAATAAAAACGCGGGAATAGACCTAGACGCGCTTGAATATGGGAAACACCTGGAAAACGCAATGGTATATGCTAGCAAGGTGCGCCGGCGGCTTGGCGCGCTTTAAGGGGCACGCAGGGGGTGAAGCTTAGCGTACTGCAGATTCAGTCTCGCAGCTACGGAGTGCTTAGGCCAAGCACCATCATTTAGGCCTAGCCTCGCATACTCGATAAACCGCAGTTGCTTTAAAAGCACCTTGCATGCATTCCTTGGGGGAAGCGGTGGGAGACCGCTTATTTCATTTTGCTTGTCCCGAGTTTTTCCCAGTGCTTTCTTTTGTCGACACTAGGGGTTTATCTTTTGCAGTCGTGAGGTAAAATCTTCCCCTCACAAATTCGACCCTAGAGTAGGATTATTCCTGCTCACGTCCGAATCCACCAGCAACGTCACTCATCTTCATTTGTATGGTTCAACGTCGTCGAGTCGCAGAAACAACAAACAGTCGCACTCACGCAACAACATCACGTGGCCGCAAGTGAAGTCGAGTTACACCATGATCTATCCTTTTGTATTTACTTTTGTATGTATTCCATTCCTTATTTAGTGTAGGCATTGTATGCCCCTGAAGCAATATAATCTCTGTATAATAGGTTACGGCAACACACGTCAACTTAGGCCCGTCCGGTAGTCGTCGGTAATAACTGGTTTGTCTTTTGTAGGTAAGCGGCACTCGATGCTCCTGTCGCAGGGGCGGCTTCTCGTCGTTGTCGCCCCCAGTGTCGTGAAGCCCACGACTTCATAACATCTGGGCTGTCACTGCACGGCGCACATACTATTCGACGCGCATCACCGTCGCCATCGATTGCGCCGTCGTCATCGATTGCCTCGTGGCATGGGCGTGGCGCCGGGTGTGCACTCAACACCTTGCCATTCTGTGTCATGTCAACGCGCCGAGCGGTTGCTTTCTCTTTTCATGTGTAATATATTCGCCGTCGTCCCCACATAACCTCGTCTCGAAGGGATTGGGAGCACTCGGAAGATCGCACTGCCGAAGGAAGAGGAATAAAAGAGGCTCCGGAGTGCGAGCAGGAGGACGGAAAGTGAAGAGCTGCTAGCTGCCGCCGGACAGCTAAAGTCACCAGCAGCTCGGGAGAGATTGAAGCACCATGGAACCTCGGGTCAGCGAAGGAACTCGGGATCGCGGAGAGAAGGGTTCCGTGCATGACATACGTCTGCGGACACCGAGTCGCTCTCCTTCCCCGAGGGCAGAGAGTGCCGACGACCCCTAATGAGGTAGGAGCTTGACCCGTAGGCATACCTCGTATTTCCTGTCGTATGAAGATAAAAGTAATAATTTTTATATGTGTGTCTTTTCTCGCAATAGCCGTGATAACAAGCCAGTGCTTCTATATCGTATTTTCTACCACTTCTCGCAGCAACAATAGTTAGTAGTTTATCCATAGAGATTCATATACGCGTACGTGTTTATATATACATACATTTATACTATCCGCATGCACGGGGAGGCAGAAGTAGTATGTTCGCAGGAACGAAAGGGGAGAAGGCAGTGGATGCCACAACACCTAGTAGCAGTACCCTACAACACACAGTTTCTCGCTCTCTTCGCCATCGGGGGCTTTAGGCAGGACCGCCTTGTAACGCGTGGCTGGGCAAAACATCAGCGCCCTTAAAGGAGGCCCCTCCGTTTGCGACATGGTACATCGGAAAGCAAGATACCATTGGCACACTTTATGTGCCACGCTCAGCCGTGTGGCGCCCTCGTAAGGCCACGCCATTGAAAATGATGTTTGATACTTCGTCTACGGAAAAGGTTAATTCTCCTTGAACGATGTTGTACGCAATGACGGATCATTTGTGAACAAAACTCATGACATTTTCAATTCAAGTCGCTTCAGCAGGGTTTTCTCAATATGCGATATTGAAGCAGCGTTCACGCAGATTAGGCTTGAAGAAGCATGCAAAGATTGTTGGGACTTCTATTTTATGGGGTAACCACTATCTCCCTCAAGAATTACCGATCGTTAGCGATAGCGGCGCGAAAAGCATGCAGGTGTCATGGCTTGGCCTTTGTGGTCGTTGCCTCAGCCAGCTCATGCCAAGGATGACGACTGCGGCGTACAGTGTGCGTGTTCTACTTTTCGCCAATCGAGGAATAGGACTTTCAACGACTACGACCACAAAATGGGCAGCAAGCTGATTTTTCAAAATCCTACTGCTCTATTATGCATGTATATTTCAACCAATCGTGGTCGCCGGGAGTGTTCTGGCATAGGTCAGAACCCGCGGTCAGCACCGCTACCTCGGGGCGGGGCTTAAGTAGAGCGTTCCTTTCTCTGTCATACCCGCCACGGTAGTCTCCCTCTTGTGCACCACCAGCAACCCGGACTTTAAGGTCTTCGAATAAATCTCCTACCACTGAACCGCTTTACTTGTTCGTTTATTAGAGTGACCATCAATCTCTCTGAATATATGAAAGGCGCCACCCTTCCGCCTAAAACACCACGCGAGCACAGTACCATAGTCTTCTGTGGTGTGAAAGGACCCATCCATTATGAGTTGCCGAGCGTGTACCAGAAAGTCACGCTATCTTCTTACCTCTATGAACAAGAGTGTTTAACCATGCGGTGAGGGACAGACGTCCAAAACCATATCTTTAGTCCCTACAGAAAGACGGCGTACGTCAAAATTTCGCTTTGGCTTCTGTCAAAATTTCTCCGGACTCGCTTCTTCAAGGTTGTTCATCAGACATACTCGCGGAACGTTGTCCCTTCTGATGACCATGAACTCTGCCTTTTCAAGCGTCTCTTTATGGGAAAAAACTCTCAAACTTGACGTGATTCGACAACGGCAGTAACTTCTTCGAGTAACAGCTTCTTGACTTCTGGACAAAAGGCATCAGTGATTAGCTCAAAACATGAGAGAGGGTTGTTGGTGTTTCTGGTGAATATATTTCCGAAACTCGATTGATCCTGTAAATTTTGGAAATAAGTTCAAAATGACTTTCACTTCGTCGCAGGACTTTCTTGTCAACCTAAGGCATCAGATAAGAAGATCCATGTTGAGATTATTATCAAGACTTATTTATAGTGCCGATACAAAGCAAGAGGTAGACTCAGAAAAATAGTTCCTTTTGCATGCTGCGTTTATTCATCTGAAATGGTTCGCCTGCATGCCGGATCACCTAAAGGTATGCCTTCAAGTGAATGATACGAGATTAATGGACCCTTCAGGGCCGCTTAAGTGAATGACCCCATCACTTCTTTGAAATGGATAGGCTCTCTGTATTGAGTATACTCGTCGCCACGTCAGAGCTTGACAGAGTGTTATTACTCAGTTATAGTCCAGAAACAAGAGTTGAAATGGGAATGTGGAAAAGATGTAGTTCGACTCCAGTTTGATAATATTCGTCCATCACTCGACAACGCCAAGCTACAAGGAAATTGAGATGAAAACGTTCTATATGCATGTGAACAAAATTGAGAAAGAATCCCGTACTCCCTTCAGATCATAGTCGGGTTGGCAAGAATGAAACCAGATGAAAGACTGTAGAGCTTCACGTCAGGGTTCATGGAATTCTTGGGGTTCATGACCTGTACGTACCATATCAACCTTAGGTGGAGGAGCCTTTTATTAGCGTAAAAGTTCAGAGTCACCTGGAGGACACAAACAGAAAGATCACATAATCTTTAATCGACAGTTCACTTTGGCTTACGTCAATACTGATCTTAACTTCTAGTATTCTAGATCAAATCTACGTCTTCCACGCACTAAATTCTGTTTCTGTGCATGGGGACAGAACCGCCGAAATCAAGGAAGGGAAAAAATCTTTTTCCTCTCCTCAGTTGTCTCCTTTATCGACAACATCGATGGTGAGTGTAAACTTCTAATCGATTATCTTTGCCATAGTGTTGATAAACAGAGAGCTCGCAATTCACTGAAAAACGCCTTTTTGTGTAAGCTCGAGTTAATACGCCAGTGTGGAATCGCTCGAGCAGAAATGATCAACTAACACCCGGATCCGTGAAGCCATGCAGATGAGCGCTCAAAGAACATACGAATGAAAGAAGAGCTCTTGAGGTTCAGAAAGTATGCATAGAAAAGGGCCATATCGTCAGCCGCCGCCTGATCTGTCTGCTGCACGTAGTCCATAAACTTTTCGCCCCAGTCATTCTCACCAGGATTGGCAGAACACCGGATGGTGAGCAGTTATGCGAACAAACAGGTACCGAGGGTGGATTACGATTGATTTAATATTATTCACTTAGTTACAATACCCGTTGAAGTGTCGAAAAAACAATAAACTTTATGTCTCACATTCATCACCTTCTATACTCCATTCTTGGCATTCTTCCAGTGTCAATCAACGTGCTGATGTAAGATAAACGATCAGTGTTTCCCGACGCACCCAATCAGGAACGCTCTTGCTCACGCC